GAAAAATAGTAGAAATTGGCCGACGTGGGTCGCAAATTGGAGCTTCTATGGCCCTGGATCTTCTCTGGTATACTATCCCTTTATTTCGGCCAATTTCTACTATTTTTCCAGCGATCCGCGGAGCCTGGTAGAGGCTACCGTTAGGCGACTAGTGAACGACCAAACCCTCGGTCATTGAGATCATTGGAAGGTTATTGAGAAATCCTCAAAATTAGTGGAATTTCATTGAAATCATTGAGAAATCATTGGAATCAGTGGAATATTATTGAGAAAGCATTGAAAGATCATTGGAATCATTGCCAGATCAATAAAAACCGTTGAAAGATCATTGAGAGATCATTGGAATCATGGAGATCGTCAAAAGAGCATTGAGAGATCATTGTAAAACCGCCTCTGGAATCCTTAATGTTGCCCCAAGCGCACTTATTCTGCACAATCACAAGAAATGAGTGAATTGGAAAAATTTAGCTATAAAATGATTATAGAGTTTTAAAAGTGACATAATATGTCATTGCCTGAACGATAACACCAATCTTGAGAAGCGTTGAGAGCAAATAGGATGAATTTAGCTTTATAAAATTATAGAGCTTAAAAAGTGTTATAAGTTGTCATTGCCTGCGGCTGAACGATAGCAGCAACGAACATCAATGTTGCCATCAGTTCATGAATGTTAAATAAATTCCTTCAGCAACTAGACTAGCTAATTGTAACCGCAAAGCTGGATTCTGTACAACTGAGAGCATTTCCGTCATCGCACCAGACAGTAGAAGCCTCCATTTCACGGCTCATTTTATGGCTTAGACAGAGACGACAGGTTAAGAGACGCCACTGGGTGAGATAAAGCCGTGTATAATACACGTCTTGAAGTTTAACGATTCGGCAAATGTACTCATAGTGGTCATCTGGATCCATTTTGGGATCAAGATCATAAAGTTTCCTTCAGAAGTCTGGCTTTGCAATAAATAATGTAGAAGCTCTTGTTTACGACCTCCCTATCCTCTTTTCCGAGTCATTTCGAGTCGACGTCTCATTTAACAACAAACTACCGTTTTACGATACATATTTCTCACTCTTTTCAATCAAAATCGGCCTCAGCTGTTTGCTACCACAATGAGGTGACCACAGAATCCGGTACATCAGTCACACCACTGTGACCTCTTGTTCCACAGTTCATAGAATATAAATGAATGCAAGGATCTTATAATTTTACATACAACGATTCCTTTGTGCGTCGATGAAGGTTAGACATACAGGTAATGAGATACAAAAGAAAATAGGCACTCAAGCAACTGGGTGCATCTTGAAAACTGAGATTTCGACGTTTCAAGTAGCATCCACTACTTTTCGTCAGTGCATAAAGGAATATGAACTGTATTTTCATCGACAACTATAATTATTCATGTCCATTCAGACCTGCACAAAACTAGGTCAACCTGTCTCTTGGTGATTACATTTGTTGACTGATGTTGGACTCAATCAAACACCTTCAATTTTTCATACCTTAAGGTAGTGGTTATCACAGAGAGTATTTTCCTTGAACGATCGTCCGCTTTTTTGTTCTTTCTCCGTCACTATTTCATGACCCTGTAGAAAATAACGATTCAATAATTCATTATAGCCGCATCTGGCACATTAGCGCCTCGGTTTTCGGCGCCTGACCCCAATTGGTAGGGTCCGGGACCAGATGACTGGATAGAATTGCTGCCGTATTTTAGGTGTAAAGATATAGTGGGCGCGTTAAGGACCTTCATAACACTTTGGCCTGCCTGCACATGCATATGTATGAAATGCAGAAGGAGGGAATCTATCATTTTGACATATAAATTTCATTTCATTTATGAATACATAATTATATGACTTACAAAAGATTCAGTTGAGAATAATGTATGTAGATAGGGGCAAGTTTTAAAGTCTTGTCGCCATCTTGTTCATCTACAGATAATTTTTTCAAAATTGAATTTTCGACGAAAAATGCATCTAATCTGCCATCAGCTTTTAGTTCTCAAATGAGGAACGTTGTCGTTAAAACGTATAACTTAAAAAGATATAACACAAAAAACATAGAAATGCTAACGTATCGTATCATAGAAATTCTAACGTACCATATCTTTGACTTCCCACATGAAATGACCCTGTTCAATGATCACCAAGCTAGTCTTACAGCAAAGAACGGTAGACTCTCTCTCTTTTCACTCACTCACTCACTCACTCACTCACTCACTCACTCACTCACTCACTCACTCACTCACTCACTCACTCACTCACTCACTCACTCACTGGGTCGAGCTTCCCTCTGTTCCAATGACAGCTTTCCATCTCTTCCTATCCTTCATTTCTACCATCTCTCTCTTTTTTACCGCCCCTTGTTTGAACAGACATCACAAAGTATGCGACATCCCATCATCAATCTGCCGCCAGAGACGTGTAATCGTATCAGGGGCCGGTAATGCATTAACAAAACATGCTTGTACCAGGGCAGGTCTGAATCGTACCATCATGCTGCCGAGTCACAGGATCATGTCATCAGAGGTCTCTAAGGACACAAGGGCGCCTTCGTAACGATATTTCAGGAAAACCAGACAGACAGGCAATTTCTTAGTCTGGCTCAGACAGTCTAACTTGACTTGTAGGTCATTCCTGGTAGTATAGCAACATACTCTTATCAGTTATTTCTATAGGATATGGATAAAGTAGAGTACATTCCATGGCAACCTTTTCTGCTTCATTCCTTATCAGTCGTTTTACGATAAGGCAGTTTATTGAGGCGTACACTTGAACAATGAGCACAAGTGAGCACAAGTGTGACGTCTGCGGCAGGTGCTTCCGGACTAGAATTGGACTCGTCAGCCACACCCGGACACACAAGGACTGAAGTTGGGGTCATCATCGACTGCGATGGACGAACATCACACTTGAACAATGCTCTTCAAAATTGAATTTCCGACGAAAACTGTATCTTTTCCAGCACCAGCTGTAGCTTAAAAGAATAGATATCATAGCCAGAACCACGTAAGCTTGTCTCCTTCACCCTTCATTGATAGTTTTAAGATAAATATAGTTTATTGAGGCGTAACATTGGACAATACTCTTCAAAATTGAATTTCCGACGAAAACTGTATCTCTTGTACCATCAACTATCTATAATATGAAAAACACTGTAGCTTAAAAGAATAGAAATCATAACTAGCACCACGTAAGCTTGTCTCATTCACCCTTCGATAGTTTTAAGATATGATAGTTTATCGATGCGTAAGCTTGGACAAGACTCTTCTAAATTGAATTTCCGACAAAAACTGTATCTCTTTAACCATCAACCATCTAATATAGGAAAAACACTGTAGAAAATCATAACGCATCATTCAGTGTTACCGCCAGATTGCTTTCGCTTTATCGTCGACATCGCCGCAGCTGTGGCAATTCTCTGTCCGTTAAAAGCATGACCAGTAGAGGTTTGAAACTAGGACAACATCCAATCAGAGAAGAGATCTCCATACGTAGGTCCATCAGTGAGTGAGATAGCATTAGGACGTAACGTATGTTGCTTTTTGCCGAAGAAATTGCATTAGACCACAGGCAGTGTAAGCCCTATTTCTTATAGACAGGAGATAGACTTCGTTCTGGATATCAGGTAAAAGGTAGGCCTTCATGGTACATAAGAAATGATGAGTTGTAAAGAATAAATGTGACATATCGAACTTGTCAACCACTTATACATAACAAATACCAAAATCCTGCCACACTATCGAAAACATTACCAACTTTGCGAAGTTATGCAAAAAAACTGAAGGAAAATGATTTAACCACACACGAAAATTGCATGAAACTACTTCGTCCCAGCTCGTAATGGTAATTAGTAATTACCTATAACGTGAACATACCTCCAGCTAACTACATCGCTCTAAACACAGAAACGTTCCAATAATGTACACCGCCAATCCATCAACCTACGGCACGGCCGCTATCACCCACTGCAGACGACAACATCACAAACTTTGTAACAACCAATTCCTGCTATCGATTATAGAAATCTCAGCTAATTGGACCCATTATTGCGATAATTACCACCGCGCTACAACGGTTGTAATTGGGTCGGCATCACAATCAATACCTTCATTACTTCTTTGTCACGACCAGATGCCCCTGTGATGTATGATGATGTATGACACTAGACT